CGTACATCTCCAAAGAAACCAAGGGCAGCAGAGGAGGAGATATTGCAAATCACATTATGGGACATGAAATTAATCCACCCTCCCCAAACATTTGGCCTTCACACAGTTTAACCTTGAAACCAGGTTTCACTCCCCTCTGCGGGAGGACTTCGTAACCCCCCCCCCCCCCCCCCCCCCCAAAAGAACGAGTCCGACATTACAACAATGGCTCTGCCGAGGTAATTATTCAATAGGATCCTTCACCGCGCCGATGATATGTTGTAATTTCATTTCACTTACGTCTGTTTCCTAATGTAATACACAGTTGAGCGGGGCCCCTTCACATCCCAAAAGACCACTTCCTCCTTAAGATAATAAAAGCCTTTTGTGCTCGCCTTTGAGAAATCCTTGGTGGATTATGCGAGTGTGGGTTCGGGAGCACATCAATTAATATGCATTAAATGAAAGAGTATTAAGTTGTAGGAAAATAATTAATAACTCTAATTGCTGTGCTGGTGCTTCGCCGACGACACCGTACCTTACCGCTAACGGGACCGACTTTGACATCGCCATCGGGGGCTAATGTACAAGGGTCACTTGACCTTTTTACGTAGCTAAAAGACAATGTGCTTCCACTTTATTACATGGCCACCTCACTCTCCCCTCATACTAATGTAGAGATTTTTAAAAAAAAAACACAGCGACTGTTACGCCCACTCCAATAACTGCAGAAAAACCTGCTAGCCAATGCCGAAACCACACGAGGTTCAGCTCTCTACCATTCCAGTCAGAATAAATACTTGTGTTTGTGTTGGAGAATACTGTAGATCTCTTATGCGAGCCCTATCGCTGGATCTCGTCCCTTTGTGCGGTACAGAGAATAGCGCTGGCACGGGGTTCCACTTTCCAATGTTACCATGAAAAAGACGTGCGTGGCTCCAATTATCCTTTACTCCTGTGTAGCTCCACAAAACACAATCGCTGGCACTGTCAAAGAAAGTATAGCAAAGGGGGAGCAGGCGATGACGGGGGGGGGGAAACCTGATAAGACCCCCCCCTCCCCACACACACACACACACACATACATACACACTTTTCTATGTGCTAAAAAGTGGCGATGAAGAGTGCCTCGGGAGAACAGAGAAGCAAAGAAATGGGAATGACAAGCAAAATGTTTCTTTGAGATATCTTTTCAATATCCCATTTTCTAAAGGTTGGAGGAGTTCTGAAGCCATGAGAGAGTAGCTCCGGCTGACTGATGACGCCTTCACTTGCCCTGAGTAGCGCTCGGCTTTAAACTTATTCATTTTGACCAAGAGAGCAACCCGCTGCACGAATTACCGTCTTGATCCGTTCACAGTCCTCCTACCTCCGTGTTTTTTTTTTTTTGCGTTTCTCAAGAATCACCCCGGCTTTCAGCTAAATCAATCTTGCCTTTGGTTGGAGATAATGAGCACGTTCGCCAGGGCTTCAAATGAACACCGCTGCTCCCGGGCTCCTCAGCTCAACACAGTCACATCGTGCAGACACTTTTGAGGAAGGCAGAGAAGCGAAGTTTTTTTTTTTTAACCCTTCGGAGACCAATTAAAAACACATATTCAAATTGACCTAAAAGGAGCGCGGCACGGCGTTCATTTACGGAGCAGCCCCTGCGTCGAATCAAGATTCATCCCGATTGTTTTCAACTCTGACAAACAAACAAACAAACAAACAGTCTCATCCGAGAGGAAAGACTCAGGAAACAAAAAAAAGAATCCATTTCACCTCTGCAGGATCAAAGACTATATCAAGAGGTAGTGAGCACACACACAGATGTACTAATACGCACGCTCAGATTCATTCAAGAGGACATGGAGGCAGGGTTTACCAGCTCAGTAGCACAGTGTGCATACATTAAATGATCCTTATTAAAGCCTGTGGTGAGTATTGGATCATTATCGTTACTATCTCCGCTGTAAGACTTGCTACAAAGGAAATGACTGCTCTGCATATAGAGAGGTATTTGCTTTATATGCTGCCTTTATAATGCTGTAAATATTGGAACTGAATTGTGTAACCACAATGTATGTAATGCACATGCATGGGTGCATTACGGTAATATGACTGAGGGCTGATGCACTGCCTCTTCTACTTGTTTAGATCAAACAAACACAGTTTACGACTAATGATTACTTTGACTATCTATTAATGTATTAATTGTCTAGCCTAGAAAATCTGAAAAACGCCCAATACAACTTCCAAAAGCTCAGGGTCACCTCTTGTCATTGCTTTAGTTGTCCAACCAACAGCCCAAAAAAAATAATAATATTCAATTAACAATGATATGCAAGAGAGAAAAGCAGCACATCTTCACAACTAAGAGGTTGGAACGAGCAAACGTTTTAGTTTGATAAATGACTTTAACAGTTAATCAATTAGCAAAATTGCAGATTCATTTTCTGCCAGTCTAGTCATTTGAGCCCTGAAACCTATTAAGGAGACAAAACTATAAAAAGGAAAAGAGAAGTTCAAGCGCCTCTTCAACCAGTCAGAATTTCACCCGTGACATATTTGGCACCGCAGCCCGACGGGTACGTGGGGGGGGGACCCTGAAACACGCTCCGTCTCGCTTTCACAGCACTTCCAGGGAAGCTGCCTCCATAAATCCCTTCTAATGGTCGCTGGCGAGGGAACTTTTCTAACACAGAACTTAGCAGCCTCTGTTATTCACCCGTAGAGCGAGGGTCTCGGGATGATGGATGGTAATAAATATTGCACGGGGCTAACAGAGGTCCCCCTAGAGACGTTCAATTGCCTTGAGTGATAGGGTGCTGCTCGGCAACGCAGGAGAGGATGGCAGAGGGCGGGCTCTTCACGGGGTCGACTAACTGAGTCGGTTCAATTTCCTCTCCGGGAAATACGACAGTCGCAATTCTTAACGATAACACCCTCTCAAAGGAAATGGAGGGGGAAGGTAAGCACGGGGGGAAAAAGGGGGGGGGGGTATTACAACTTATGTATGGCAAGTTTGTTGGGTATGAATGAAGAATTGATTGTCCCAAAGAGAGAGAAAATAGATCCACTGTGGAGCAGTAATGGTTGTGAATGTACCTGGCATGTGAGGGAGAAGGAACACTACTCAGTGTTATGACCAGTTCCCCGCTGCACTGGTGACTGGAACAGTTTAATGGAGCCTTCTGACAAGGGAGCCCTGTTGTGCCGCCCACCATCTTAACTGCTTCCTTTGACAATGGCCCCCGACAACAGAGCAGATGTCCAAGCTGCACACATCTGTAGTGGCCTTATATTCCTTCAGGCACACACACACACACACACACACACACACACACACACACACACACAC